TGCGTTACTAATCCGTTTCAAGGTTAGTGTGAGTAAGTGTGCTTCTTATCTGTATGGATGATACTATGAGTTGGTGCGTAATTATATATGTGGATGGTACTATAAGTAAGTGCGTTTCTTACCCATGTGAAGGGTAGTAAGAGTAGGTGTGAAATTTACCCATGTGGGTGATACTAAGAGTAGGTTTGTTACTTACCATGTGGATGGTACCATAAGTGCGTTTCTTACACCATATGGATGGTACTTAGAGTTTGTGCGCTATTTACTCATGTGGATGGTACTAAGAGTAAGTGCGTTACTTGCTCATCTGGATGGTACTCATAGTCAGTCCGTTACTTACCCATGAGGATGGTACTAAGAGTAGGTGCGTATTTTATCCATGTGGATGGCACTAAGAGTAGGTTACTTATGCATATGGATGGTACTATGAGTGAGTGTGTTTTCTTACCAATGCGGATAGTACAACGATTAAATGCGTTACCCATGTCGATGGTACTAAGAATAGGTGCATAAATTACCCATGTGGGTGGTACAAAGAGTAGGTGCGTTACTTACCCTTGTGGATGGTACTATGAGTAGGTGCGTTACTTATCCATGTGGATGGTACTAAGGGTCAGTGCGTTATTTACCCATGCGGATGGTACAAAAATAAGGTGCGCTATTTACCCATATTAATAATATTTAGAGTGTGAGCGTAATTTATTGATGTGGATGGTACTAAGAGTAGGTGCCTTATTGACCCATATGAACGGTACTAAGAGAAGGTGCGTATGTTAACCATGTGGATGGTACCAAGTGTAGGTGCATAAATTTCCCATGTCGATGGTACTGTGAGTAGGTGCGTTATTTAACCATGTGGATGGTACCAAGAGTAGGTGCGTTACTTACCCATTTGAATGATACTATGAGTAAGTGGGTTTCTTACCCATATGGATGGTACTAAGAGTAGATGCGTAATTTACCCATGTGGATGGTACGATGAGTAAGTGCATTACTTGCTCATATCAAAGGTATTAAAAGCATGTGCGTAACTTACCCTTGTGGGTGATACCAGGAGTAGGTACGTTACTTACCCATGTGGATGGTACTAAGAGTAGTTGTATAAATTACCCATGTTGAAGGTACAAAGAGTAGGTGCGTTACTTTCCCATGTGGATGGTACTATGAATAATTGTGTTTCTCACCCATATAGATAATACTAAGAGTAGGTGCGCAATTTACACATATGGATGGTACTAACAGTAGGTGCGTAAATTACCTATGTGCATTGTATTATGTGTAGGTGCGTCACTTACCTATATGAATGGTACTATCAATAGGCGCGTTTTTTTTCCGACGTGGATGGTAGTAAGAGTAGGTGTGTAATATAGCTATATGGGTGGTACTAATAGTAGGTGCGTTACTTACTCATGTGGATGGTACTAAGAGGAGGTGCATAATTTACCAATCTGGGTGGTATTAACAATAGGTGCGTTATTTACCCATGTGGATAGTACTATCAGTAAGTATGTTACCCATGTAAATGGTACTAAGAATATGTGCATAAGTTACATGTGGGTTGTACTAAAGGTAGGTACGTCACTTACCCATGTGGTTGTTACTATGAGTAAGTGCGTTTTCTTACCCATGTGGATGGTACTACGAGTAGGTGCGTTACTTACCTATGTGGATGGTACTAAGAGTCGGTGTGTTATTCACCCATGGGGATGGTATGCAGAGTATGTGCGTTACTTGCTTATATTGATGGAATTAAAAGTATGTGTGTGATTTGTCGATGCGGATGCTATTAAGAGTTGGTGCGTTTCTTATCCATGCGGATGGCTCTATGAGTAGGTGCCTTATCGACCCATGTGAATGGTACTAAGAGTAGCTGCGTAAATTTCCCACGTGTATGTGACTATGACTAGGTGCGCTACTTACCTATATTGATGGTACTAAGAGGATGTGCGTAATTTATAAATGTAGATAGTAGTATGAGTAGGTGCATTTCATACCCATAAGGATGGTACTATGAGTAAGTGCGTTTTCTTACCCATGCCGATGGTACTAAGAGTAGGTGCGTAATTTACCTATTGTTGGGAACAAATTTGCATAGCAGCACATCGTGCCGTCTGTTTGTACGAGTATGCGTGTGCGAATGCATTTGCGTGTGAATTGCGTATTTGTTTTCTTTCGCAATTTTCGCTTGAAGAATTTGCAGGTACTCGCACAATGTGCACTTCGGCACAACATTGTACGCGCTATGAACAGTGCAAGCAGAAAAGACGAGCTCGCAAAGAAACCCAAGATAAAAACCTTTGACGATTCATTTGAATGCGCATATTCAGTTTTATCCACCTTGAATTTGTACTGTTTTGTTTGGTTGACTATAGTTTAGCAGGGCTGGCACTATAGGGCACAATGTAGGTGAAGGTTGGGTTGTTTGTCTGTATCTGTATGCTACAGGGCCAGGGGAACCTGCGGAACCAGCATTTGGTTGGTTGGGCAAAGACAAAACAGGTTCTATTTTTAGGACCTGAACCTGGTTTTTGATTTTCCAGCCGAGAACAGAAGACGAGCGAGTAGCCCGCCACGAGACAGAGCCGGAACCAAGACTGAAGGTGTACACCTGTGACGACCGCTGTGTAGCCTGGTCGTCAGCCCAGGAAGCGTCTGCGTGCCCAGTGAGGACCACTGGACAGCGCCCTCCAAGCACTAGCCCCATGCCCGACGTACTGCACAAGTGACGCAACACCCTCTTCGCTGAAGCCATGTGCTCTGGTCGCTGTCTCCCAGGAGCAACATAGCGTGCGAGAATGCTAAGAGGGTATGCAAGGTCAGGTTGTGTGCAGGTCATCAGGTACATGAGGCAGCCAACAAGCTCTGGATACGGGCCACTCGACTCTACGGACTCATCCGAAGGCAGAGCTGAGAGTGAGTGGCGAGTAGGGAGAGGAGTGGCCTGAGGCGAGGAGTACGTGAAGCCGAAGCGCTGAAGGACCTGCTGCACCATGTGTGACTGAGTGAGGGTAATGGTGCGGCGTGCTCTGTCCCGGGTGATCTGCAAGCCAAGGTAGCTGCGCAGTTCACCCAGGTCTGTGCACGTGTGTCTCTTCTGCAGCTCGGACTTCACGTAGGCGAGTCCAGCAGTGTCAACAGTGGCAAAGACCAAGTCGTCGACATACACTAGGATGTAGAAAGGCGGCAGAGAGGTGTCGGTGCGCAGAAACAGCGACGGGTCGGCAGTAGAAGGAGCAAACCCAAGAGCCGCAAGTGTAGTCCTCAGTGTGTCGTGCCACTCACATGGCGCCTGGCGGAGACCGTAAACTGGACGCCGGAGGCTCCACTGGGTACCAGGAGGGAACAACCCAGTGAAGCCAGGTGGGCGACGCAGCCAGATCTCCTCGTGCAGGCTGCCCTGCAAGAAAGTTGTGCTGAAGTCGAGGGAGTGCAGCTCGTAGTCACGGTGAGCAGCAACGTGCAGTAGCACCCGAAGAGTGGTCATCTTCGGGGTGGGAGAGAAGGTCTGAAAGTAGTCAACTCCCTGCCGCTGACTGAAGCCACGAGCCACGTAACGTGCCTTGAAGACAGGCGGAGAACCCGGCGGCCGCTTCACCCTGAAAATCCACATGCCATTGACGATGTTCGCCCCAGGAGGGGGAACAGCGTCAACGTAGGTGCTTGTGGACTTCCAGGAAGCCATCTCTTCATCCATAGCTGCCTGCCACTGAGAAGAGTAGGGACCCTCTATCGCCTCCGCGTAAGAGCGCGGAGTCGGGATGTCAAGTGCATCCGTGTCTCCCTCACGGGTAAGCAGTATGGACACGAGATGAGGTGAAGCAGCTGCCAGACACTTGAACTCCTCCTACCTGTCCTCAAGGACGTCCGTGCCAAGGGCACACTCACCCCCGACGGACGGAGGACAGACATGTCAGAACATTATAGCTTGCTTATTTGTGTAGGCTTTAGTGGGGTATCCCATAGGGGGTACAACCCAATTAGGGTTTCCTATTTGTACTCACTTCGTTCATAGTCATTTCATTCATCGTCCTCATTTTCACATGGAATCAGAGCAGGTCCCCTCCTAGGGACCGTTTCTTGGGCCCACCGAAGCGCGCCCCGAGGCGCGCATTCTTTTTTTTTTTAGCGACCCGTCGTGTCGCCCTTCCCCTAGCGGCACGTCGCGTTGCCTATTCGGTCGCGACCCCCGCCGCCCTATTCTTCGACGGCCCCGCCGCCCTACGTCGCGGCCCTGCTGCCCTACTCTCGCGGCCTTGCCGCCCTACCCTTCGACGGCCCCGCCGCCCTACCCTTCGACGGCCCCGCCGCCCTACCCTTCGACGGCCCGGCCGCCCTACCCTCTGACAGCCCCGCCGCCCTACCCTTCGACGGCCCTGCCGCCCTACCCTCTGACGGCCCCGCCGCCCTACCCTTTGACGGCCCCGCCGCCCTACGTCGCGGCCCCGCTGCCCTACCCTTCGACGGCCTCGCTGCTCTACGTCGCGGCCCTGCCGCCCTACTTCGACGGCCCCGCCGCCCCACGTTGCGGCCCCGCCGCCCTACTTCGACGGCCCCGCCGCCCTCCGTAGCGGCTCTGCCGTCCTACCCTACGCTGCGGCCCCGCCGCCCTACCCTTCGCGGCCCAGCCGCCCTCCCTGCAGCACGCCTGCCGCCCTACCTTCCGATCGCCGTGCCGCCCAGCAGCTGCGCAGCCATGCCACCCAGCAGTCGAGCAGCCGAGCCGCCGAGCAGCCCAGCAGCCGAGCCGCCCAGCAGCCGAGCCGCCGAGCCGCCCAGCAGCCGAGCAGCCGAGCCGCCCGGCAGCCGAGCCGCCGAGCCACCGAGCAGCTGAGCCGCCGAGCCGCCCAGCAGCCGAGCAGCCGAGCCGCCGAGCCGCCCTGCAGTCGCGCCGCCGGCCACCAAGCTGCCTTACTTCCTGTTCTGCCCTGTCTGGTGAGCACAGAGCCCTTTTCACTGCACTGCCCTCACCCTACTGCTTGCACTGCTAGGCGTCTGTCGTCATGGCTACCCCGAGCGTTCTAGCTTTTGACGCTGAGGGTCGTGCCATTGACTTTGAGGTCTGGGTCGACGACCTGCAACTATACTTGCAGTGCGATACGGTAGATGACATTTCTCTCTTTGACTTTGCCTCTGGCGCCGTCCCTGCCCCTGCTGCTGATGCTAACCCCACTATTGGCTCCAAGTGGGCCACACGCGATGCTCCTGCACGTCTTGCTGTGCATCGCCACCTCCTTACCTGTGAGCGTGCCCACTTTAGTCAGTACAAGAGTGCACAGACCCTGTACGACGCTGTAGTTGCACGCTACTCCTCCCCTGCCACTGCTGCACTGAGCCGTCTCATGCTACCGTACTTCTTCCCTGACCTTGCTGCCTTTCCCACAGTCGCTGACCTCATTACCCACCTCCGCACTAGTGACACTCGCTACTGTGCTGCGCTTCCTGCTGACTTCTGCGCCACGAACCCCCCTCCCATGTACATCACTCTCTACTTTCTAGTCACTCGTCTCCCTGAGTCCCTTCGTGCAGTAAGGGACCACTTTCTCTCGGTCTGTCCCACCACTCTCACTGTCGACCTCCTCGAGAAGTCCCTGCTAGCGGCCCAGAAGAGCATAGTCGCTGTAGGGGCCTCTCGTGGTGACCCTCGCATCCCCATCTTTGAGGGGTGTTCTCCTTCCCCCCTGTTACCCTCTGTCGCCTCTGCTGCTGCGGCCGACCTCGTTGGTCTTGAGTCGGTCGGTGCGGCGTCTGCCCCCAGCGGTAGGCGCCGCCCTGGCAAGGGCAAGGGGGGCAAGGGAGCGGGTGGAGCTAGCGGGGGCGGTGGCGGAGGAGGTGGGGGCGGCGGGGGGAGTGGGGGTGGCGGTGGAGGTGGTAGCGGGGGTGGAGGTACTAGTGGCGGCAGTTGAGGCGGAGGTGGCGGCGGCGGTGGCGGTGGGAGCGGAGGTGGCGGAGGTGACGGCGGTGGAGGCGGGGGCGGGGGTGGCGGTGGTGGAGGTGGTCGGAGTGGCTCGTCGCAGCGGAGCGGCACTAGGGGTGGTCAGCGCTAGCAGCAGCAGCAGCAGCAGCAGCGTTCTCGCGACGTCCCCGCCCTTCAGCAGCTCCGTGATTGGTACACGCAGCGTCAGCGTGGTGGGGCTTTTGGTCCCTGCACCTACGTCCTTCGCACCGGCGACCGCGCGGGTGAGCAGTGTGGGGGCACCCACACCGCCCAGCGGTGCTTTGGCCGCCTGACGAACGCTTGGCGCCAGCAGTTCCCGGAGGCCTCTCAGTTCCCCCGCTGGGGAGAGCTGTCTAGGGCTGGTGTAGCTATCTTTGATCTTGACTTTGATGCTATCCTTGCTGCCATGTATGCTGTGACTGTTAGTGATGAGGGTGACTATTACCGGTGTTTCCCGCCCGACCCGGGCATTGGTACTACTGCTCTGGGTGCTAGTGAGGCTACTGCTCTAGGTGCCAGTGCGTCTGTGCTCTCAGGTACTGGTGAGTCTGCACTCTCAGGTACTAGTGAGTCTGCGCTCTCAGGTACTGTGTCGGCTTCGGCCTCCCACACCTTCACCCTTGACTCTGGGGCGTCTCCCTACTTCTTTTGGGACCGCACCACACTCACGCCGCTTAGTCGGCCTGTTGCGGTGTCCCTGGCTGACCCCTCTGGGGGTCCTGTCCTGTCTCGTTTCTCCACAGTCCTCCCGTGTCTGGCGGCTCCCTCTGGCACCCTGACTGGTCTCTACCTCCCCTCGTTCTCTACGAACCTGGTGAGTGGTGCTGACCTACAGGATGCGGGTTTCCACCAGTTCACTCCTGCTCGTCAGCGAGTGACGCACTGCACAGAGGCTAGCACACGTCGCCACCTGGCTACGTCAGCCAGGGTCGAGCCTGTACACACTGACCACTGCTTCTCCTCCAGGTGCTGTGTCTAGTAGGGTCCCTTCGTCTGGTCAGGTGTTTGCTGCTGCGTCCAGGTCTGGTCGTGAGTCTGCCCCCTGTTCGTATCGCCGTCTGTCTCACGAGACTCTCCTCTGGCACCACCGCCTTGGCCACCCCTCTCTGCTTCGGCTCAGAAGCATGGCCTCCCGTCTTCTTGTGTCTGGTCTCCCCCAGTCCCTCCCTCCCCTTCCTCAGGGCCCTGGCGCTGCCTGTGTCCCCTGTGTCGAGGGGCGCCAGCGTGCTGCCCCTCACACCTCCCTGTTTCCTCCGACAGAGGCTCCCTTGCAGACGCTTCACATGGACGTGTGGGGCCCTGCCCGCGTCCGTGGACTAGGTCACGAGCGCTACTTCCTGTTGGTGGTTGACGACTACTCGCGTTACACCACAGTCTTCCCCTTGCGCAGCAAGGGTGATGTCACTGAGGTGCTGATCGACTGGATCCGCGCAGCTCGTCTCCAGCTCAAGCAGAGCTTTGGCTCGGACTTCCCTATTCTGCGTCTGCACTCGGACAGAGGCGGAGAGTTCTCCTCTGGCCTTCTGCGTGCCTACTGTTGTGCGCGAGGCATCCGTCAGACCTTCACGCTTCCGGACTCACCGCAGCAGAATGGGATTGCAGAGCGCCGCATTGGCATGGTCATGGACGTCGCTCGTACGTCTATGATGCATGCGGCTGCCCCCCATTTTCTGTGGCCGTTTGCGGTCAGGTACGCGGCGCATCAGATCAACCTCCACCCCAGGGTCTCCCGGCCGGAGACCTCCCCGGCCCTGCTGTGGACGGGGAAGGTTGGCGATGCGTCGGCGTTACGGGTCTGGGGATCTCGGGCGTTTGTCCGCGACCTGTCTGCGGACAAGCTGTCCCCTCGTGCTGCTCCCTGCGTCTTCCTGGGGTTCCCCCCTGACGCCTTTGGGTGGCAGTTCTACCACCCCACCTCTCGCCGTGTTTTGTCCTCTCAGGACGTCACGTTCGACGAGTCGGTACCCTACTACCGCCTCTTCCCCTACCGCACTCCATCCCTCCCCCCACCCCCGCTCTTCTTGGTACCAGGTCCCCCCTCGGTTGACCCTCTTCCCCCTCAGGGGTGCTGCCCCTTCAGGTGTGTCCGAGGTAGACGTGGTCGAGCCTGTCGAGGTCACTGGTGACTCTGGTGCTGCTGCGGGTGCTGAGCCTCGGGGTGCTGAGACTGGGGGTGCTGAGCCTGGGGGTGCGGAGCCTGGGGGTGCTGAGCCTGGGGGTGCTGAGCCTGGGGGTGCTGAGCCTGGCAGTGCTGAGCCTGGAGGTACTTCGCATGGAGGTTCTCCGGGTGCTTTGTCTTGCCGGAAGCTACTCTCCCCACAGGAGCTGCGTGAGTGGTTTGCCCGTCACTGGAGGCGTGCTGCTGGTGCTGGTGGTTCTTCTGCTACTGAGGGTGCTGCTGTCGCGGGTCCCGGAGGTGCTCGTACTGGGTGTACTGGAGCTGCTGGGCCTGCGAGTTCGACTGGAGCTGGTGCTGCTGAGGGTGTTGGCGCTGGGACTACCACTAGCGGTCCGACTGGCGGTGCTCCTGGTGCTGCTGGGGGTTCTGGAGCTGCCAAAGGTGCTGCTGGAGGTGCTGCTGGAGCGGGTTCTCTTCCTTGGGGGTACTGGTACTGTCCCTACTTGTTCTAGCGTCGCCCCGCGGCCCCGACCGTACTTCGTTCCCCTCCTGCAGCAGGTTCTTGGTCTTACACCTTCTCCTGGTCCTCCTCCTCCTCCCTTAGAGGGTCCACAGCCTGTCCAGTCACAGTCACAGCTACAGCCTCCCTCCCCTTTGCCTGCTCCTTCTCCCTACGCTGGTCCTACTGGAGGTCTTACTGAGCGTCTTGAGCCTGCGTCTCGTCCTGCGTCGCCTGTTTGTGCTGCGCGCGCTAGTGGTCGCGGTTCGCGTCAGCGTCCTCCTCCTGTCCTTGGCACGCACCGGATGTCTCTCCGTCCGTCCACTGCTCCTGTGCGTGCCCCTTTGCCTTCTCCTCCTTCGTCCTCTCTTGCTGCTCTTGCCGACCCGGAGTCGGACTCTCTTCGTGCTGCCAGTCCTACTGTCACGCGTCTCCTTGCTACTGCCGTCACTGACCCTTCTTTCGAGTTTACTGCTGCGTCTGCCCTTGTTACTAAGCTCGTCGACTTTGCTGCTCGCTGTCGTCTAGACTACGCTCTCAGTCTTGTCGCTGAGTCTGAGTCTGCCTGTCCTCCGTTCGTCGGGGGTGAGTGTGCCCTTGGCACGGACGTCCTTGAGGACAGGCAGGAGGAGTTCCAGTGTCAGGCCGCCGCTTCACCTCATCTCGTGTCCGTACTGCTCACCCCTGAGGGAGACCCGGATGCACTTGACATCCCGACTCCGCGCTCTTACGCGGAGGCGATAGAGGGTCGCTACTCTTTTCAGTGGCAGGCAGCTATGGATGCAGAGATGGCCTGCTGGAAGTCCACAGGCACCTACGTTGACGCTGTCCCCCCTCCTGGGGCGAACATCGTCAGTGGCATGTGGATCTTCAGGGTGAAGCGGCCGCCGGGTTCTCCGCCTGTCTTCAAGGCGCGTTACGTGGCTCGTGGTTTCAGTCAGCGGAAGGGAGTTAACTACTTTCAGACCTTCTCCCCCACCCCGAAGATGACCACTCTTCGGGTTCTGCTGCACGTTGCTGCTCACCGTGACTACGAGCTGCACTCTCTCGACTTCAGCACTGCTTTCTTGCAGGGCAGCCTGCACGAGGAGATCTGGCTGCGCCGCCCACCTGGCTTCACTAGCTCTTTCCCTCCTGGTACCCAGTGGATTCTCCGGCGTCCAGTCTACGGTCTCCGCCAGGCGCCCCGTGAGTGGCACGACACACTGAGGACTACGCTTGCGGCACTTTGGTTTGCTCCTTCTACTGCCGACCCGTCGCTGTTTCTGCGCACCGACACCTCTCTGCCGTCGTTCTACATCCTCGTGTACGTCGACGACCTGGTCTTTGCCACAGCTGACACTATTGGACTCGCCTATGTGAAGTCCGAGCTGCAGAAGAGACACACGTGCACAGACCTGGGTGAACTGCGCAGCTACCTTGGCTTGCAGATCACCCTAGACACAGCACGCCGCACCATTACCCTGACTCAGTCACACATGGTGCAGCAGGTCCTTCAGCGCTTCGGCTTCACGTACTCCTCGCCTCAGGCCACTCCTCTGCCTACTCGCCACTCGCTCTCAGCTCTGCCTTCGGATGAGTCCGTAGAGTCGAGTGGCCCGTATCCAGAGCTTGTTGGCTGCCTCATGTACTTGATGACCTGCACACGACCTGACCTTGCATACCCTCTTAGCATTCTTGCACGCTATGTTGCTCCTGGGAGACACCGACCAGAGCACATGGCTGCAGCGAAGAGGGTGTTGCGCTACTTGTGCAGTACGTCGGGCATGGGGCTAGTGCTTGGAGGGCGGAGTCCAGTGGTCGTCACTGGGCACGAAGACGCTTCTTGGGCTGACGACCAGGCTACGCAGCGGTCGTCACAGGGTTACACCTTCAGTCTTGGTTCCGGCTCTGTTTCGTGGCGGGCTACCCGCTCGTCTTCTGTTCTCGGCTCCAGTTGTGAGGCTGAGATCTACGCCGGGGCTATGGCTGCCCAGGAGCTTCGCTGGCTCACCTACCTGCTTACCGACCTTGGAGAGCCGCCTCGTTCTCCTCCAGTCCTGTACGTAGAAAACAAGGCCATGCTGGCCTTGTGTCGAGAGCAGCGACTGGAGCACAGGACAAAGCACATTGCTCTCTGCTACTTTCTTGCTCGTGAGCTACAGCAGCGTGGACAGTTGCAGCTTGCGTACGTGGCCTCTGAGGCCAACACTGCTGATGTCATCACCAAGGCACTTGCGCCTTGTGATCATCAGCGCTTCTGCACTCAGTTGGGTCTTGTGCCTGTCTTGCCTCACTTGCTCACTTCTTGACCTTGCTTGTACTGTCACAGATATATACTCTTGCTCTTGCTTGCTTAGCCTCTTGTATACCTATATATGTGCTCTTGCATGTGAACTGGCCTTTTGGCCTTTGAACTTGTGCTCGGAATGCGTGGTGACTTTGTGATCCACCCTGAGCTTTGCCTTGCTTTGCTTGGCTGGTCTTGTGACCCCTTGTTCTCCCCCACTTTGCCTATGGGGGTGTGTCAGAACATTATAGCTTGCTTACTTTTGTAGGCTATAATGGGGTATCCCATAGGGGGTATAACCCAATTAGGGTTTCCTATTTGTACTCACTTCGTTCATAGTCATTTCATTCATCGTCCTCATTTTCACAAGACAGACTCAGACTCAGCGACAAGACTAGCGGCGTAGTCTAGGCGACAGCGAGCAGCAAAGTCGACGAGCTCGGCAACTAGGGCAGACGCAGCACAGGATGGGTCAGCGACGACAGTAGCAAGGAGACGCGTGACAGTAGGACTGGCAGCACGAAGAGAGTCTGACTCCGGGTCGGCAAGAGTAGGAAGAGAGGACGCAGGAGGAGAAGGCAAAGGGGCACGCAGGGTAGCAGTGGACAGAAGCAGAGACATCTGGTGCGTGCCAGGGACAGGAGGAGGACGCTGACGCGAACCGCGACCACTAGTGCAAGCAGCATGAACAGGCGACGCAGGACGAGACGCAGGCTCACGACGCTCAGCAAGACCTCCAGTAGAACCAGTGTAGGGAGAGGGAGCAGGGAGTGGGGAGGCAGGCTGTAAGTGTAGATGTGACTGGAACGGCTATGAACACTCTAAAGAAAGAGGAGGACCTGTAGAAGGCGAAAGACCAAGAACCTGCTGCAGGAGTGGAACGAAGTACGGTCGAGGCCGCGCGGCGACGCCAGACACAGCAGGGACAGCACCAGTACCCCAAGTAGGAGCACCCGCTTCAGCAGCACCTCCAGCAGCTCCAGAACCTCCAGTAGTACCGCGAGCAGTAGGCGCAGCACCAACGCCCGCTGCAGCACCAGCTCTAGGCGAACCCGCAGGCCCAGCAACTCCAGCACTCCCAGTTTGAGCAACTCCGAGACCCGCGGCACCAGCACCCTCAGCGGCCGAAGAACCTCCAGCTCAAGCAGCATGGCTCCAACGTCGGGCAAACCACTCGCGCAGCTCCGGTGGAGAGAGTGGCTCCCGGCGAGACGAAGCCCATGGAGGACCTCCAGGCGTAGCACCGCCAGGCTCAGCGCTCTCAGTCGCCGCACCCCCAGGCTCAGCACCCCCAGCCGCAGCACCTCTAGTCGCAGCACCCCCAGACTCAGCACCCCCAGACGCAGCACCTCTAGGCTCAGCACCCCCAGTCTCAGCACCCCTAGGATCAGCACCCCCAGGATCAGCACCCCCAGTGGCAGCACCCCCAGGCTCAGCACCCTCAGCAGCACCAGAGTCACCTGTGACCTCGACAGGCTCGACTGCGTCTACCTGGGACACACCTGAAGGGGCAGGACCCTGAGGGGTGAGGGGGTCTTTCGGGGGGGGACCTGGGACAAGGAAGAGCGGGGACGGGGGTAGGGACGGAGTGCGGTAGGGGAAGAGACGGTAGTAGGGGACCGACTCGTCAAACGTGACGTCCTGGGAGGACAGAACACGGCGAGAGGTGGGGTGGTAGAACTGCCACCCAGGCGCGTCAGGGGGGAACCCCAGGAAGACGCAAGGAGCAGCACGAGGGGACAGCTTATCCGCAGACAAGTCGCGGACAAACGCCCGAGATCCCCAGACCCGGAACGCCGACGCATTGCCAACCTTCCCCGTCCACAGCAAGGCTGGGGAGGTCTCCGGCCTGGAGACCCTGGGGTGGAGGTTGATCTGATGCGCCGCGTACCTTACCGCAAACGGCCACAGAAAATGGGGAGCAGCCGCATGCATCATGGACGTACGAGCGACGTCCATGACCATGCCAATGCGGCGCTCAGCGATCCCATTTTGCTGCAGAGAGTCTGGAAGCGTGAAGGTCTGACGGATGCCTCGTGCGCGACAGTAGGCTCTCAGAAGGCCAGAGGAAAACTCTCCGCCTCTGTCCGATTGCAGACGCAGAACAGGAAAGTCCGAGCCAAAGCTCTGCCTGAGTTAGAGACGAGCTGCGCGGATCCA